ATATATACCAATGCCACAAATGATTTACTCAGTTGAGATATATAAATGGCAATTTAATGGGGGGGAAGCAATAGTGTCAACTATCATCCCTTCTGCACAATATTGAAATGCATTTAGTTAAAAGTTTTGAGTTACTGTGAAAGTGATATACGTTTAGAAAGTGCTCAATCTAAAAAGTTGGTTTAAAAAAAATAGAAGGCACATTGGCCTGTTTCCAAAGTTCAAACCAAAAATACAACACAACAATAAGAAGAGAAGCAACACACCAAGCATGTTTGGAGGCCTAGGCTGAATGGCCAAATTATCCAGCTTATACGATACCAGAGAGAAATTGCAGCACTACGATGCTATACATTTGAGACAGTAGTCAGATTCTCATCAACACACAGTGTTATTGTTAAGTGTATTCGTTCATTGTCAGAAGAAATAGCAATATAGTGAAAAGAATGTTTGTTCAATTGTCTGACTCTAAATAACAATCAATCCCAATGTAATGTATTCAGTGCAATAGTTTATTCCCTTTTTCTTATTTACAGAACAAAAGCACTGGACTCCAGAATTATGATTTGTGAAAAAAGACCAAGAATAAATTTTCTTGGTTTTCATGTAAAAAAAAAAAATTCTGTTATACTTATCGAAAACAGTAGCCTTATCGGCCCACAGTCAATATAAGTAATGTTATTGATTGAGGATTGATGTTATCATTTCCAAATGAAAATAGTCATATCGGCAAATCTGGGCAACCCAGAGTTACCTTCTTCAGATGAAGGTGCTGGTCTCAAATCAAAGTAACATGGCTCTGCTTGAATGTATTTCAGAACAGTACATTCTAGGGGTGAGCTGCTATGGGTTCGTCCTGGTTTGGGAGAACTATAGCTAACCTTATGGCCGGTTCAGAGAACCTCCAAATCCCACCCATGGCTGGCCCCGCCAATCTCTCCCCTCCCAGGAGTCTCCACGCAACCCATTTTAGATGTAAGGTAAGTGCAGGGTCTGCGTGGAGTCTAGCGGAGAGGGGGGGAAACGGGCCTCCCAGAAGTTACGGAAGGCCAGAAACAGGCTCATTTTCATCCTCCGAAGCTCGGGGGAGGCAGTTTTTGGCTCAAGAAAAGCCGCCAGAACCTGGGGAAGACAAAACAGCTGCCGCCCTTCCTGCTGTAGTGCAGGAGGCCAACTAGGCCACGCCCACCATGGCCACGCCCAGCCAGCAACCAAGCAGAGAACCCATTGCTGAAATTTTTGAAACCCACCCCTGGTGCACTCCAAACCACCAATCTTAATAAATTCTTCAATATATGACATTTTGGGACATCGGAAGCTCTCCAACGTCTCTCTAATCTTAATAAAACACTACATGTATCAGGATTCAGCTAGGCATCATCCAGGGCCACCACAGAAAACTGATTCCAATGATCGCTTGAAAACTTTGTGTAAGTTAGGAAAACACAAAAGTTAGAAGCGCTGTAAAAGTAATTTGCAATGGTTCTAACACAACAATTGACTATTTATTTATATGCTACCCATCTTTCTGTCCAAGGTGACTTTGGGCAACATAAACTTGTTTGCCACCCAACTCCCAATGCCATTTAAGAATTCAGGCACAGGTTAGGTAACTCTTGTCAACCTTCCAAATAGGTTAGGTCACAATTTACCATGAGCCAGCAGATATGAACGGTGGGTATCATGGGAGGAATCATCCAAACGGGACATCAAGCTTCCTATCCTGCCTCAACATAGTTTAATGTTGGAAAATTCTGCTTATTAGAAATCATCCTAGTCAGGCTGTGCAGCATTGTTGTTGTTTTTAAGGTCAAAGGCACCACTTTCAATGTTCCTACTGGGGAGCATGCTCATAAATGGATTAACTAATCATGTGCTGAGATAAAAAAACTGTGTTTGATTTCCTTTACATTTCATTTAAATTAAAAGCAGGATATGATTTCAACCCAATCATGTCTTTCAAAAGTTTCCCCCATGTTTTAAAAAAAAGACCATTTAGAAGACCCTGAGACTGAATCCAGAAGGAATGCAGAAAAATCTTGGGGATTCAGGGGCCCATCTTGGCTTAATAGCTTGCCTCCTTAGATCTGTCTGCAAGCAGAAATACAGTTTATTATGGACTCACTTTGCTTGGATTCCTCTTCTTCAATCTTTTTTCTGTGCCTGTGTTGTTATTGAATTCTGACCACAGGGTGTCAGTATTTCCTCTGTGAAACTCAGCAGCAGTTGACCTGACTTTCTTCCAAATAGAAGGTTATCTGACACATGCACGCATGTACACCCACACCCACTTTTACTTAAAACGAGCTTGGGTAATTCTTTCCCAACACTCAAGTGGGAGAGCATCTTTTAATTTCCCTGAACGTATCCTACGCAGACGGAGATATCAATGAACAGTCTTTCACATTTATATGACTGTTTCTCCATGCAGATGCTTTAAAAATAGAACCAACAATACCTTTCAATAAAAAGTACATATTGGAAAAAATAGGCAGAGTGTTCGATTGCGATATTTTTGCATTCTCATTCATTTTTCCATATTCCTTTCAGCCAAAGAGGTTGCTGCTTTCCAGGAGCTTGTTTTCAACTACCCTAGCAGGTCTCTAATAAAGGTAAAGGTAAAGGTTCCCCTCGCACATATGTGCTAGTTGTTCCCGACTCTACAGGGTAGTGCTCATCTCCGTTTCAAAGCCGAAGAGCCAGTGCTGTCCGAAGATGTCTCCGGTCATGCGACCGGTATGACTAAACGCCAAAGGTGCACAGGACGCTGTTACCTTCCCACCAAAGGTGGGTCCTATTTTTTCTACTTGCATTTTTACATCAGAGATGGTATTCTGCCGGTAGCGGTAGCAGTGGGAGGCTCCTCCCACCCGCCCAGATGTCATCACGGGCACTCTGTGCATGCAGAGAAGTACCTTGTGCAAACTCCCAGTTCCGAACCGGTAGCGAAGATAAGAGAAGACCATTACTGTTTTACATGCTTTTGAACTGCTAGGTTGGCAGAAGCTGGGACAAGTAATGGGAACTCACTCCGTTACACAGCACTAGGGATTTGAACTGCCGAACTGCCGACCTTTCAATCAACAAGTCTTAGCCACTGAGCCACCACGTCCCCTTTAGGTCTCTAATACTAAATACTAAATTATTTCCTTTATCAATTCCTTGAACTAAAGATGTCTCTGCCATCTAGACTGCCACAACTTTTCACTTACACTTTATCAAGTAGGCCTCAGCCCAAGTTGCTGCTGCTGATCTCTAGAGATCCAGTCCTTTGGTCCAGGCAGGCTGGAACCAACCTGCAGCCCTTGGAGTATCAACATGGACTCACCAGAACAGCCCATTTGAAAAAAGCTAACTTGTTCATGTTTCTGAGACATCCAATTCCTCAGGGGAAAAGTACTACTATTACTACTACTACTACTACTACTACTAATAATAATAATAATAATAATAATAATAATAATAATAATAATAATAATGACTCTTTTATTATTTATTTATTATTATTATTAT